TAAAAAGTACGAAGTGTTATAGTTGGAAGTGTGCACTATAACGGTATAAAATAGGAGGGAATCCTGGAAGATGTGCCACACTAAGGCATGAAGGATTAACCTTACTGGAGATATTTTGTCCTCGAATTGATAGGACATGAAATGATGATTTTATGTGAAATAATGAGCTCGTATATGATGATAATGTATATTTATGAATTATGAAGATGATTATAATGATATTTACCCCCGGGGATGATTTTTCCGAAAATGGAAAATATTTGCGAGTTGTTAGACAAAGAAATGTACGGTCAAGTTCTAACAAAATTGGAGGAATGAGCATGCGGTATTTAACAGGAGTATTTTCAATCAGTTCAATAATGTATAAGTGATAAAATATCTCAACATATTTTTCAATTTTCATATAATAAACTATCTTACTACTTGAATTCATCGAAACATGGTGAATAGGGGAATTAATTTTTTTTTTAAATTGAATAAACGCCATTATATTCGTTGAACCAGTTACACCAAAGATAAATAAATAAATCGAATAAAGTTCTGATAATATTTCATATTAAACAAAAAATAATCTCAAGGGCCCATGTGTCGAAATATTGTTCATGAAGTACATGAAAGGACCAATTCTCGGACGTTTCATCAGTTTATTCAAGCTGCCAACAATGAGTTGTCAGATGAATATCCTTTTAAATCTTACGGATTGGACCTGGAATGTCAAAAATGATCAATATGTAAGTATGAAATAACATGGTAACAATTTCGATTATATATTTATCAGATAGGTAATTTTTTTAATTAAAATTTTTCAACGAAAAGGCACGTTGGTTTTTTAACATGACTCTGATTATTCTTTTTTTTTAACCATTTTTTTCAATTCACCTGTTGATATATGAATAATTCTTAATTGGCAATATTGGCAATACATTTACATCTCGTGTTCGAGAAAGATTACTAATCACAGAAAAAGCATTCAAATCCTTGAGATTTCAAATCGAATGGAAACCTATCGGACAATTTTTAATAATTTCGCACACATACGAAATATACAGGTATAGGTAGGTAACTCATGATCTGTTTCTTGTTTATTCAATCAACCATTTAATTTTTCAATTTCTAATCAACAAGAGCTTTTCTGCAATCCTTATGCATTTTAATATTGTTTATTAGTAATGAAAACTAATGCAGGCATTTTGACGAGCTCGCTAATATAAAGAAAACAATCATGAACTTGACACTATGGTCACGTTACTTTGTGTTGATATGATATTGTTTCTTTTAATCATAGGTGTAATGATGAATCATGCTTTGAGAAACTCGAGAAAGCATGTTGAGATGTTTTTATAATAAAATGGAATAATGATAATTTAAAGAAATTGAATAGAAATGTTTTTTTTTTCATTTGAATTTATAATTAATAATTAATAATTAACTCTAGAACTAAAGTCTGTAAATTTGGAATCATCAGGAATTGATGGTATACTAAAATAAATAAAATAGGAAATGATGTCAAAGCATATCCCGGCACATAGGTCAATCATTTATTGCTCATCTTGAATTTTGTACCTTCAACTTTTTCGATCTCTTATGTGATAGTTATATATAGGGTTATACAGAATTCCCCATTTTAATATAAATAGTAACGTAGGCATTTGACAATATTTTTTCTTTCATGATTTCACGGTATCACACAAAACCGAGCACAAAGCAATGCACGCACACTGAGCACTGGCACATAGCACTCATCAAGAGATCAGACACCCAGGGGGATGCAGCCATACGCAGCCATATGGACAAACAAGGACTGTTTGAAGGAACAGCATGATTCGATGGTAGCTGCTGGGTAGCCCAGGAAAGGAGAGGAGAAACGTAGGAATTTCACGAAATTCGTTCCACGAGATGCCTGAGCAAACTCTCATATGACGGGAATTCATCGTTCCTCCCATGGACCAAGTGGTCTACCAGTTATCACAGCAATTGCCAAGATAGCTGGCAATTCTTCTCACTCAGCTGCCAACTACCCTCAAGAGACAGGCCAATATTAGAAGCCAGTATATCCTGAAGCCCAAAGGATTCCTACTTCAGAGTATCAGCCCAGAACGAGAGAAGCTCACTAATCTTTGATGCCCAAAAAGATTACCTCCCTATGCCCAGGACGAGGATACCTTTCGAGCCCAAAAAGGATCCCGCCAAAATTCCCACGACGATTGAAAGATGCCATCAGTCGCCAGTCGATACCCCAAGAAGCCAGCAGTTCCCTTCGTCCAGCTGCCAACCACCTTGAACACAGTCTAGGGAATCTTAAAGCCCAAAAGATTTCATCCCAATGCCCAGGACAAGGATACCTTCGAGCCCAAAAGGATCCTGCCGAAATTTCCATGACGATTGGAGGAAGCCATTGCCCAATCGTCATTCCCTACCCCCAAGCTGCCAGAAGTCCCACCGAGAAGAGTCTGATTGAAATGCTTTAGTTGAATAGCCAGTGCCGGACTAAGTAAAGGTGTGAGTGTGCATTGTAGACACTAAATTTCGAATGTTTGTGGATATTTTTTTTCTGAAATTTTTTGTATATGTAAATGAGTTTTATATGTTCTCCTCGATATTTTTAGGTAGGTAGTAATTTAAAAACTGGGGTCCAGTTTTCTCGGAGAGAGGGGTCATGTCACGAGTAGAACATACGGTATATCAGTAATTTCGAACCATGAGGGTTTTATAAACATAAAGTAAATCAAATCATCCGTTGACATTGAAATATAAAAACTGACCAAGGAACTCTCATGAGAAACGTGCATTTCTGATAAAATGATGTATATAAATATTGGATGTGAGGGTTCCGAAGTTAGTCTGGTCTGGGGCTACTCTTGACTTGACAAGAGCTCGTCGTAATGGTCGTTATAATGTAAGTTGTTATTAGGTCTTTATATTCATTGTTGTTTATTCATAATTGTCATCGCTACCCATAATGTTTCATGCTTCAATACATATTGTTATCTTTGAATATAGTCTCGTACTTTCAGTTACCCCTAAATTATTAGTGCCTATTTGAATATTACCTCTCGCAAAATATTAAGCCAAGCATAACCCCTTATAAATCGATAAGGATGGTCTAACGATCTATTTATATCGTGTAAGACAGTTTTCATTATTTCAAGTATTGGATATAAAAATATGTTTTTATATGGGGCATCTGGCCAGGATTTGCGAACGGTCCAGCATGCTAAAACTGGACTGCCTCGGTTTGATCTTCTAATGGGGCGTTCCTGGTAGTGCACACAGATAGGCATGCTAAAACCATCTGTACCCATACAAAAACTGAGTAAAAAATATTAATTCATTTTTAACAGGCACAACTCTTTTATCGTGACAATATAAACATGTGTCCTAACTCGCTTCGTTTTTGAGATACAGGATGTTGAAGTTGGAAGTATTAATTGTTTTTATTTATAACCCCCCCGTATAAGCTTTCATGGTGCCAAAATTCAGTATGGATCGAATTTAATTCTTGATATTGTCCGATACCTATCTGTTACCGTTTTCGAAATGAAAATTAATTTAAAATTTTTTCTTCGAAAATTATCACCTCTAGAGAAGCTGCTTCGAGTTAAGAAAAGCTATGGTAACGAAATTTGGTTTGGAGTTAGGTAATACTTGGAGGCTTCCCACACTCCAGCCTATCTCCATTATATACAGGGTGGTGAAAAAATACAGTTTTTTAGTTTGCTTGAAATTGATTATTTCAAACGGAACACCCTGTATATTATTGGGAATTCGCAAAGCCTCTGAAATATGCTTTCTCTCTATGTATATCATGTCCATTCCAAACTAGTGAAGTTTTGAACTTATGAGCATTTATTTGTGAAAATGTTCATGCAGAATGGTATCCCCATTCGGATAGAAAGAAAAAGTAGAAAGGAGAATGACAATCTTGATCAGGTACTAAAAAACATTTTGAAGGAAAAGAGGTACAAAAAAACATTTTGAAGGAAAAAACTACAAGTTCAAATTCTTAAACTCAAGAGCTACATCATAATATTGTCTTTTCAGATTTGCCTTTGGGGCTTCTCCTTCTCCAGACAGGAAAAATAAAGGTGTACATTCTGGGCGAAGCAGATATACATCTTCAATGAAAAAATTCGTCCTAACACTGTACTTTTATTCACCTCACATGGCTCTCATTCACCTTCTAATAGTGAAATGTTTATGAAAAAATAGGTACTCTTAAAATTTAGGCTTAAAAAGACCTTAGGCACTCGATACCATTCAAGAACCTCTTTTAAATTTTTTTCGTTCGTTTTCTATTTCTTCTGATAGTGCTGAGACATTATTGATGCTTCGCTCACCCTGTACAATATATTGTGACATTTGAATAAGAATATATAATATCAATTTTGTATTCATTTGCTTCCTAATCCTGTAAGATTAAAAATGATATTTCACTTTTGAGTCAATAAAAAAATTGATAATTATTTTCTTATAATAATTGATTGCAACATTATCCTTTTTCCTAAATGAATATTTATATCTAATCACGGATACTCTTAAATAAAGGAAAAAACAAGAAAATATTTCAAATAGTGCGAACGCTACCCATCAGCCAATATAAGATAGAAAGAGATAGGTATCCGTAACCACTGCGGGTTGCCTGAACAATATTTTTGCCTCACTTGTCACTTCAAAAACAATGAAAGGAAACTATTCAAACGAGACATTTTTCATCAAAATCAAAAGAATATATTGTACATACCTAACTAGTTAGTAAGCCATTTTGTGTGACGCTGGGATTTTGAGGACGTGCGAAGCGAGATCCCGCCAAACACAGAGTTACGTAAATATCTATTGCAGGTTTGGAGGTAGACAATTTGAAAAAAATACCGGGTCGTTTAATCAAAAGTCTAAAGCGGGAGTTATAACTTATGTATAAGTTATTATTTGAATCAAGAATATTTGTCTCCCGAGAATCATTAAAAAATGCATGAATGTTTATCAAAATCGTGCTTACTTACTTCCAACATTGTGCCAGAGAATTCTTCCAGCTTTGCTCTTTATTTCGCTCCTCGATTGAGGCATCAAACTCTACACCATTCTTGATAGCTGCTAAATACTTGAATGCCTCATTATCAAAACAGAAGATATTTCTATTGAATGGGATGTTTGCGTGAGGAGGATTTTTCCTAATTGCTTCAATTTCATTCTTTAGCAAATGGATAGTTTCACCTGGCCCATAATCAGAGCCTCTTGTATTAGTGAATGCAAATATAATATTCTTGCTTGCAGATTTGTCTAACTTGGATAAAATTTGAGTCATACAGTATTGGAAAAAGACTGTATTCCTTGATTTGTTGGGTTTGAAAAGAAAACAGATTGCATGAAGCTCCTGTAGTTGACCAATGTAAGATAAAATGTTTTCAGAATTGATATTATCCTGCTCTGTACCCCTGGTATCTCCCATTCCAGGAGTATCTATCAGACGAATTTTAACTCTGTCATTCCAAATGGGAAAAACGTAAGTTTTAACATCTTGGGTAGCTGAGACACCACTTTTCAGAAGTTCGTTTTTATCACCAGTTCCGATGCTGATGACATGGAATTCACCATCTTTATCCTTCACACTAAACTCTGTAGGTATAAGAACAAGTAATTCCTCATTTTTTGCTTTTTTAAAATCCACATGAGTTGAATAATTGGCAAATGAGTTGATCAATGTCGATTTACCCACTCCTGTTTCCCCTAACAGAAGAATATTTATATCTGTCTCTTCAGTTATTCCGAGGTCCTTGACTTTCTCTTCTAGATCCGATCCTGATGAGGACGCCATTTTGGGATTTCCCTGGAAAATATAGGGTGATTCAAAATTCGATGTGAATATTTTAAGGACGTATTGTTGAGATCAAAATAAGACTTTTTCTCCATATAAACATGTGTCCTAAAATGCACCCCATTTCAGCCAATAACACACAATAGACTGCTGATTACTGATTCCTTAACTTATCAGAAAAATAGAAACAATAAGAGAATATCAATGCATAAAAAAAATATCACACTCTCCCACACATGTTCCTACCTGTTCTAGCTTATTGTAATAAATCTCTAATTGGTAGGTATTTGATAATATGGATTAATCACTTCCTATTATTTCAAGCCAATTAGAACGTTCAATTGACCTAAGCTACCTTGTACCTTGTATAATTTAGAAATATACGTGGATATACATAGAGTAGTTCCACCACGCTTCATGGTCGGATTATTTCAACTGTTAAACTGACACTCTTTGAAATTATGCAACAAGTTATCCATGTATAACCAAATATTTTGAAGTAATTTTAGTATCATTACTGATAATCCGTACACTCGTCTTCAGAACGTCGCACATGGACGGTGTCAAGTTTCTAAACCACCACTGCAATAAGAGCATTTACACCGTCCAACCGCGACATTTTCTTTGAAGACGAGTGTACCTACTATATGATGACATGAATGTTTGTAAATGACCGTGTTAATTGCTATACAGTGCAGTGTGCAGTACCTATTTTAATAGGATTAGACAGATTAAGTGGTTAGGTACATCCTTGCAAAGAAAATGTCATGAATTATGCAAACTTGGAGTGGTTTTGAATAATAATAATATTTATTTTATCCTTTGAGACATTACGAAATGTATAGGACAAGTCAAGCGCTTACAAAATGGTTTGAAAATGAAATCCATGATGAAATACATACGTTTAAAAGAAGAATTTGAAATTATATTTTTAATGAATGTTGGAAGATGATTGAATAATTTCATTCCCATATACCTATCTAAAACAATTTTCTAGTTTTGTTGTTCTGTGTTATGGAATGCGTTGGAAATCTGAATTTCTGGTGTCATACCCAGCCAACACATCTGTTACATGACATATCTGAGATGTCGCGTCTAGGTAACAGTGCGATATCACAAACGTTCTATCGCTGCGATGTTCATAAACAAACACATCTGCGACATGACATCTCTGAGATGTCACGTCTACGTAACAGTGTGATATCACAAACGTTCCATCGCTGCGATGTTCATAAGCAAACACTTTTGCGACATGACATCTCTGAGATGTCGCGATGAGGCAACACTGCGATATCACGAATGTTCTATCGCTGCGATGTACATCAGCAAACATCTGCGACTATAGTCACGATTTGAAGAATTCAGTTGAAAGGTATTGATGTTATTTCTCACATATAGAAGACAGTGATAAATAAACACGCTGTAGAAAGACATATATTATATTTTATAAAGGTGGGTTTACAAGTTTGTTGATATTCCAGTTGGAACATCTTTCCAATGATTTTCTTTTGTGTCACAAATATTTTAGTCACATCGACTGAGTTACCCCATAAAACGATATTATAACACAATAAAGTGACTATATACTAGACTATAGTATACATTAATTATTGCACTGGTGGGCCAGGTGTCTTTTACGTATCATGTTTGTTAATCTGTGGTATCACGTCGGGTTCTGTAGTTCCCCGCGCCCCACTGGAGAATCCCCAGCTCAGAGAGTCGGTGTGCTGTGGTGTGGCGTGTGGGTCGGTAGTGTTCTAATTTTTATTAACCCTGCATCCATTTGTGTAATACTTTTTTCGAACACTTGGAGTATAATGACAGAAACCTCGACAGAAACACTCCCGACGAGTTTTGAACAGGGAATCTTGAACAGAAAGATTGCATCTTCCAAGCACTGCATTCCGATTGAAAATCCATTCATTCTCTAAAAAGATATGACGGTTTGAAAACTGTCAAATATTTCAGTGGTCCACTTGTTTCTTTGAGCACTTTATATAAATATATGAATTAATAGTTATTCATGCAACAAGTGCAAAAAGGGAATGTTTATTGCACTCGACGTGAAATTGTCGTCGAGTGCAATAAACAATTTTTGCACGAGTTGCATACAACATTTTTTCTACGTTCATGCAAAAAGCAAAAAATGATTTATTGAGGTGCGGCACTAGGTGTAGGAAAATGAAAAACGCAACTTGAATACTTTATTATTAATATCGATTTGAATTGAAACAGGAACTAATACCGAACAATTAAACTCAAACTTTATTTTCACCCTCAATGTTGAAAGTGAATGAACAATTGGTGCAATTTTCAATATGAATATATGACGTTTCTATAACCACAGTTGCAATGTAAAAAATGTTTGTCATGATGACAGCACGTTGAAGTAGAATGACAAATTTGAGTATTTTTTTTTTAGTATTTGAGTATTTATTCAATAGCCATGAACAGTCATATGGTTTACATATATTCAGGTACTAAATGATGATGTACTTAAAAGCTTGTGTGTGCAGTGTGCACCAGTCACATTTATAACATCGTCTTATATACTATATATACTATACTATCTGGACTAATATGTACTAATGTAATATACAATCTGAATATATACAATATATGCAATATATGTCAAACTAATGACTAGATATTGGGTTTGCTTTTTAAAATCCAAGATGATATTTTATTTTTGATTTTTTTGTATGACTGCAATAAAAACTTTATTGCACTAAGTGCAATAAAGAACTTCTTTTTCCACTAAATATAGTTCAATAAAGTTCTGCTTTTTGCATGAATGTAGAAAAATATAAGTTATTTCTATGAACCGACCATAAATGTCAATATTCTCATCACTTGTTAATTGATAAATGTTACTTGATAATTGTTAAATGTTGCTGCATAGATCGCAGATAAATCCACTTTAAATCTTTGTTCAATTTTTAATAGGTGTGGAAGCTAACATTTTTTCATCTTCCGTGTTTTATATGTTTAGGTTTTTTTTAATTTATAGCAGCAAATTGTGATAATTATTAAAATCCATATACCTACTGTTGTTTTGATGACCTACTGTTGTTTTGATGACCTACTGTGTTTTTCCCACTCATTTACTGCTCCACTGCTCCAGCAAATTTTCATCTGGCAACACTGTATACACTATATACCTGCGTTCTTTGTTCATTAAGCGAGGCCACGACTGCCACGAGGCACAAATCACAAATATACTGTGGCGAGGCAGGGCCTACTCTATCTGGCGAGGCCTCGGGCGAGGCAGACAAATTAGTGAAAATTGTGGTGGAATTATGATAGTGAAAATGAGCTTTTATATACGTACCTACCCACGATGGAATTATATTTCCACCATGCACCTACTTATATGAAATTCATTTTCTTTTGAAGCACACCTTTATATAGGTATTCGAGTAGGTATTATAAGGGTATTATTAAATTTTTGGATGAAACCAAAGACGGAACAGATTTTATACATGCATTTTCAGTACAAATCTGAAATATTTGAATTTTTCGTCTATAGGTACCTATCTCAGTATAGATCGAAAACCTATACCTGAACAATCTGAAAGTTCTGAACCACCTACCTACACCTGAATTTTCAAGCCATAAAATCATACCAAAGCAACAAAAACTCACCTCTGATGAAAATCAGAAAAAAATAATTAACACCAAATGTCCTATGCAGCTCTACAGAGATGTGCACATTTGCACATAAGCACTTTATAAGCACACCATCACATATACAAGATACAGGAAGAATAATAATCTAAATCTACGTAGCGTACCAGCTGGTAGCTGACGCTGACTCAGCACCAGCAAAACAAGTACAAATATAGCAACCACATTCCACATTTCCTGTGTTGGTTTCTTTATATACTGTGGAACTCGGGGAACTACACACACTTTTACGACAGATCATTGCCACAGATCCTAAGCAGTGTTGCCGCGTCCAACTTATGAAGCGTACCACACGTTAAACTGAAAATGTACCATTTTGGTACATTATGTCAAATCAGCATAAAACACAATATAACGGACCTATAGGGTTTTCGAGAAATATATGGCTCGTTCTCATCAGATTTGGGTAAATAAAATAATTTTAGAAATAATAAGATTTCACTCACTTATCCATCATATTTCTTATACTTAGGTATGAAAACTGAAAACCGAGGGAATACGACATTGAAACCTGTGATACAACCTGTGATACAGCCTGTGATACAACCGTTGGGGAATCTACAGGTAGGGTATTCTGTGCAAAATCTTCACCATACAATCAGACGGGTAGATGGCGTCCGCATACAGAACACAAAAATGTGTTTTGGATAAAGAAAAGTAGCACATCACGTGTCTAGTTCTTTCACTATTCAATATGAGGTCTGCTATAACTAATCATCCAAACCATAGATCTAAATCTATGTCCAAACGAAAAGGAATGCCAATATGATGATTGAATAGAATGAACATATAAGAATATTGCCTTAAATTCGAAATGTAGTACCACTGTACCAATCAGAATGAAATTATTGTTTTTATGTTCTGGTTTCCACGAAATGGGATATATCCTCTGTAAGGAACATCGTCAGAACCAAATGAAATAAGGTAGGAATTGGTGTTCTTCTCAAATTTCTGGAGGTTATATGCCTCGGGAAACACCTCCCTTGGCAATGTGCTCCAGAGCCTCGCTGTTCGTTGTGAAAATGTGAATGTAAATGTACCACATTTGGTACAAATGTACCGCATTTGGTACAAATGTACCACACCGCGGCATCACTGTCCTAAGGCCTCTGTATAGCATAGTGTTGCCAACTCAGATTTCCGAAAGTCGCAAATTGGCCAAAAATCACCAAAACACCACCAAACAGGGTGAAATTGAAAAAAATGTGCCGTAGGCGAAAATTTTTGCAAATCTAGTGATTTTCTGGTGGTTTCAACTTCAGACAAGATCACTAGATAACACCAGATGAAAAAATCAGATCAGGTATAAAAAGTTTTCTTTAACAGAAAACAAAACGAACAAAATAAATTATTCATAACATCAATGCCATACTTGATTAAGTATATTAAGTCACAATTAAAACAAGAAATAAACAACAACATTTGAGATCATACAAAAACAGACAAAATTGGACATAACCGCTAAGCGGCGTTCAGAACCAAACTTTTTACGTTTTGCTATTTACGTTTCGTATTCTGATTGGTGAAGCAAAATCTGTAATTGAAATGACGCAAAAAGCTGAAAATATTAAGCTTTTTGCGTTGCAAGAAGCCATCGTCTGTGAAAATAGTAAAAATAGACAAATGATATTATTATAAAAATGGAAAATACTACTGTATGTATGTCGATGAATAGAACAAATACATGAATGGAACATTGATCATGATTTTTTCATACGTCTCAGAGACGACATATCAGCATATCCGATTTGTTGGATTACCACTGCTTTTCAATATCGGCCATTACGTAATTTATGTCTGCACTCTGCACTCATTCAGTACCCTAAAGTTGATCTATGTATAATTATGGTTCAGTTTTAGAAATATCTTGAGTGAAAGATAGATTCCCGTCTCGCGCGTAGACGTATAGTCAGTCTTATCTCTGGTATAGTTATTGTTATCACGTAACAATAAAAGTTCAATTTCGCCTATAATACGTATGATTGCGTCTATATCTAGATATACAGGCATTGTCATTTTTTTCAATTTGCATGTTTATGACGTATTAGTTCTGTGTCAGAATGACAATAATATCATCGATAATTTTAGTATTTCAATTTTATTTTAGTATTTCTATAGATCAATGTCGAAATTTTGAACATAAGGTACTATATATTTCAATTTTGAACATCATTTTATCTTCGAAAAATATATAGAGAACGTGTTTCAATAGCTCAAAAAAATAAAATAAAAAATTTTGGATTTATATGATGGACATTTAGTCTGTGAGACGTATGGTTAAGTGTTAGTGACAACTTTATATATTTGGAACGAAGTATTGAATAAGGATCAATTTACGTCACCGCCAGTTCTATGGAAATTATCAATTATCTTTTCAATATTATTGTTATCTCTGGACTATTTCTCTTCATTTCAGGTTCAGGTTGAAACACAAATGACAAAACCAAGGCAACTGAGACATGCCGTAAAAATTCATGTTGATTTTTTGTTGTTGTGAATGACATTTGCGTGAATTTAAACTTATTCACGTTTAGCTTCAGATTCTGATGCTTCATTCTAATCAGAATACGAAACGTAAAATGCACAACGTAAAAAGTTTGGTTGTGAACGCCGCTTTGGAAACTGATTTCAGTGATTTCAGTTAAAACAGCGGTTAAAACTAGTTTTTCTATAAAAACTATTCTCCATTAGGTATTACATTGTTAGAATCAAAATATTATATAAAACAAGGGGCATTTCGGATGCGTCTTCAACCACCAGATTTCACCATTTATTTGAAAAAACCTCCGGAAAAAACTCACCAAAATAAACAACAATTACTAGATGCCACATTTTGTCACAAAACGAGAACTCAATCCACCAGTTCTAGTGTGAAATCCACTTAGTTGGCAACACTGGTATAGTAGCGTTCACCAGGACAAAGTTTACATTCTGTAAACTTTGACCAGGACAAGAAGGTCAGCAGTGTTGCCAGCTGCTGAACATCAAATGTAAAAAAAGCTAGAAGCTAGAAGTCGCTATAGCGAGCGTACAGCGAGCAGAGAGCCCCAAAGATTTAGCGACTTTTTTCGCGTGATTTATGGTGACATATTTCCTCATTTTTAGTCAACATCAGATAAAAAACGTAGAAAACTTTATTTATTCAGAATCTGTTCAGAAGGAAAAAATGCAAATTAAAAATGCATGAATATCGGCATCAAGGATTACAATTTCATTCGGTACTATTACCCAGCCAACCATCGTGTGACATCAACATCTGTGTGATGTAACAACCTTGCATAAATGCAATATCTCGTTAACACATCTTTCCGACGTAGATTCGATATCAACGTCGCAAATTAAGTGACATCGCAACCAGGAAACTATGTAATGTGGCAGCGACTTCTTCAAACTACATCTCTTCGACGTTAACTAAATAATTCACATTGATATCCTCATGAGATATCTTTGTGACCTGTGAGTGTGACGCAGACATGCGCAAAACGAACGCACACGCCAGACGCCATGTTGAGCTGTGCATGGCCATCAGGCCATGTCAGTCAGTGAGTGAGTCCGGCTCCGTATAGACTATTTCCTTCCGAATTCTCTGTTGAAATATCGGAGATGATTTATAGCACATATTATAGCAGCTTCAAATTGGAGGTATACTTCGAGGTATACAATCATTTGGGAACGACGATGAGTTTAATCACAATAGGTAATATTGTAATTATCTCTGAGATAGGAATATTGCAATGTGAAACAAGGTGGATGAAAGATCCCAAGATAATGTAAGTGCACTTGATATGTATCATTTATGAATAATGTATATTTGTATTGCTATATACAGTCTGTCCATAGATTAAACAAGATAAGGTTGAACAGCATGGGGATCTCGGAAACGGTAGGAGATACGAAGTCGCTTAAATGGGGAAAAAGTTGCGCATTCGGAGGCTCATATCAAGAGCCTTCGAAAATTTTGAAAATTATTTTTAGTTTTTGAGTTATATCGAAAAAAGTGAATTTTTGAAATTTCTATTTTATTTTTTTTCTCCGTTATTATCAGAGATACAGAAAAACTGAAAATACTTTTTCATTGCAACTTTTGATGAGGTTTAACGTGGTGATACCGATTTTTTTATGCGACGTTTCGTATTCGTGGAACCATCATCAACTTTTGTTTTTTAAATACGGTCCTGATAATTTTTTCACAGATTCTGAAAGGTTTTTTTATTCTGAATACAACAATGTACTATACAAGGTGATTCGAATGTGTTTCGACCTATTTCTATCCATCATCAATGTTTTTTCGAACTTTCAAAAGAAAAAAAGCCATCAGTTCCACTTATTTCTTATCATTTAGTGTCAAACTTGATGGATTAGTTATTCAATACTGAAAAGTGAATAAAAAATATTTCACTACATCATTCGATCAATGCAGCGTTTAAAATTGTTGATGAATTCTTACACGAATTACTTTAACAACTTAACTTTGACAATACCTACAGAGACATTCATAACAAATGTTCAAAATGATAACCATTATTTTCTGAACAAAGATATCCTCTTCTCACAGTTGTTTCTAAGACATTGCTAAGCATTTCTGGGGTTATTCTATTGAATGCTTCGAAGGCACTGTCCCTTAGTTCTTCTTCATCCTCAAAGTTATTTGCGTGTACAAAGTTCGATATATCCCCTAATAAAAAAATCCAGCTGTGTCAAATCAGGCGACCGCGCCGGCCAAGGGATGAAAACGCACGGACTTCTCTGGAATAATTATGACCGGAGCGCCATCTTGTTGAAACCAACAGAGTTCTGAACTTCCGCAATCGGTAAATCATCCAGAGCTTCCTCAAGATGATTCTCAAGCGAATTTCTATAACGTTCGGAAGTCTGTGTTTCATGGTAAATAGAAGGAACAATAATTCGTGTACCAAATATTGCAACCCACATATTAAAGCCGAAACGGTGTTGGTGTCTCTCGCTGTAATGTATAAATGTTCATTTTCTCGTGAACAATAATGTGTATTTTTTCTATCGAAGCTAACCATGATTAGTGACCATGCTTTCATCAGTCCAGATGATTGTTCGAAAGAAATCTGAAAAATTTTAACATTTCCTGGTATACCACTCACAGAATGTCTTGCGCCTTTCGTCATCGCCTGGTTTTAGCGCTTGACATATTCTGAATTTGTATGGATGGAATTTTTGTTTCCGCAAAATGAAATGGGTTGTTGATTGAAACCAGTTGATGGGGTATTAGTGTGTTGACTAATTTTCCTTCAAAATAAGTGGAACTGATGGCATTTTTCCTTTGGAGTTTCGAAAAAACATTGATGATGGCCAAAAATAGGTCGAAACACAAATGAACCACCTTGTATAATACATGGTTGAATTCAGAATAAAAAAACCTTTTAGAATCTGTGAAAAAATTATCAGGACCGTATTTAAAAAACAAAAGTTGATGATGGTTCCACGAATACGAAACGTCGCATGAAAAAATCGGTATCACCACGTTGACCGTCATCAAAAGTTGCTATGGAAAAGTATTCTCAGTTTTGCTGTATCTCTAATAATAACGGAGAAAAAAAATAAAATAGAAATTCCAAAAATTCACTTTTTTCGATATAACTCAAAAACTAAAAATAATTTTCAAAATTTTCGAAGGCTCTTGATATGAGCCTCCGAATGCGCAACTTTTTTCCCATTTAACCGATTTCGTATCTCTTACCGTTTTCGAGATCCCCATGCTGTTCAACCTTATCTTGGACAGACTGTATATGTGTCATGTTTTACTTAAAGATTACTAATTAGGGTGATTGTCATGATAAGTTTTGTATCATCTGTTTTCACAATCGGAAAATAAACATTTTCTTCGTGAAGTTGAATAATTATAATTATTATATATCCCACGAATATCACAGGTACGGCGACCACATCATCGATGTCGCAGTGTGATGTATTTGTAATATGAAATGTACACTTGTATGTGACCTGGTAGTGATTTTTCATGTGATGTCGCATTTCATGTCTGAACGACGTCACAGTGATGTTGCTTGAGTCGGACATTTTCACATCGCCACGTTGTATCGGTAACATGTTTGTGATTTCAAATGCGATATCGCATGTCGAAAAGTGATGTGGCGTATACATCACTTATACATCACATGGTTGGCTGGGTAGGTGGGTACTACATTGGTAGGTATGTACATTGGTAATATCACAACATATATTTCTCGATCGTATTTGAGTTGAGGTATGTCTGATCTAATATCACACACATAATTGATAAACCTGTCAAACCATATATGCATCAAAACTCATCCCAGCGAGCACAAACCCAGCCAACCATGAGATGTATAAGTGATGTATACGCCACATCTCTTTGTGACATGCGATATCGCATTTGAAGTCACAAACATGTTACCGATACAACGTGGCGATGTGAAAATGTCCGACTCAAGCAACATCACTGTGACGTCATTCAGACATGAAATGCGACATCACATGAAAAATCACTACCAGGTCACATACAAGTGTACATTTCATATTACAAATACATCACACTGCGACATCGATGATGTGGTCGCCGTACCTGTGATATTCGTGGGATATATAATAATAATAATTATTCAACTCTACGAAGAAAATGTTTATTTTCCGAAAGTAAAAACAGATGATACAAAACTTATCATGACAATCACCCAAATTAGTAATCTTGAAGTAAAACATGACACATATATAGCAATACAAATATACATTATTCATAAATGATACATATCAAATACACTTACATTATCTTGGGATCTTTCATCCACCTTGTTTTAGATTGCAATATTCCTATCTCAGAGATAATTACAATATTACCTATTGTGATTGAACTCACCGTCGTTCCTAAATCCTTGAGTCGGACATTTTCACATCGCCACGTTGTATCGGTAACATGTTTGTGACTTCAAATGCGATATCGCATGTCACAAAGAGATGTGGCGTATACATCACTTATACATCTCATGGTTGGCTGGGTTTGTGCTCGCTGGGATGAGTTTTGATGCATATATGGTTTGACAGGTTTATCAATTATGTGTGTGATATTAGATATTAGATCAGACATACCTCAACTCAAATACGATCGAGAAATATATGTACCAATAATGGGAGATATCATTTTTTCTGAGCTATTGAATATGCGATGACCATAAGTTGATGTTCGATGATTGAACCTACTAACCTGGTCTGTTGAGAACAAAAATCATTTTCCATAAATCCTTAATACTACAGGAAGGAAGTAAATGAGCCAGTAAAACAATTTATTAAAAATTCCAAACAAAAACAAAGTGAATGATAACACATCAAAACAAATAATGAATAAGTTACTACACCTACTATGTACAAACTTCAATAAACATGGTTATACTAAACAAAGAATACAAACAAACTGAATATTTTGAAAATAAATAAATAAAAACCAACATTTTGTAACAAATATTAAATATTTCAACGGTACTACCAGCCAAGCCGATATTTTCACTTGTTCATATGTTCACTGAAATAGAAATTATATGTATCAAGTTAGATATAGATTAAATAATATCGCATTCAGGTCAGTTTTTGCAAGTTAAACTCATTATTCATTAAGAAAGGATTCCAAAACTGTGATTGAGTATGTAGGTTCTTACCTAATACTTAAACACAACTATATCAAAAACATCTTTCCATCAAGGTGGTAATAATGTACAGGGTGAGTTAGTTTTTTTTTTTTAGCAAAACTGCAACAGCTCAAAGTAGATATTTTTTCACGATGAAATGTGGATCTATGATTATGCGTGTAGGGCCTCGTTTCCGATATTCAGTTTATGTGATATTTTTATATTTTTTTAGTGTTTTTGAAGTTTTCCTACTGAGTTTCATAATCACACTTTAAGAAAGCTTTGGCTTATTCCAGGACTTCAAGTCGTCAAATAGAGTGTGTTCAAAAAATAAAGTAACAAGTAAATTATTTTTGTCATTTATCTTGAAAAACATACAGTTTTCGAAAAACATAAAGAGAAACAAAGAATTGCTATCCAAATAAGAGATAATCCAAATTGATGTCTCAGTGAGAGCAGAGGCAGTACGCAAAAAAAAGAGGATGAATAAATTGGGGTCCAACCCCCAAAAGTGTAATCAAGAACGCTTAATAGCCTTGAATATTGAGTTTTTGAAGTGTAATAGGTGTACCAAATTTTGATTCATCATGTTAAAAATTATAGGAGAAAACTTAAAAAACAGAAAAAAATTTCAACTTTGACACCCTGCGATATACAGGGAAACGAAGCTCCCATGTATACATACAATTTTTATATTGAAAATATGTGTTGCTATTCTCAATATGGGATGCCCTGTATATTATTGCATTTTCAGATTCTCACTGACGAGCTGATTTGATTCCAGAGATATATATAGTGTGTTCAAAATCGAGATTTTCCAACTTTAGGATATTTTTGTGTCGAAACTATTCATCTTCAGGGAGAATTTGAAAATGTAATAATATACAGGCCATTCCATTCAAAAAATAGGAGCTATGATACATTTCGTGTTTTTGGCATACTATATACTCTATTCATCTGGAAAAAAACTTTCAAAAATTCAAATGCTTTAGCCACAATGCTTTGTAGCGAATAACGTGAATAACCCTGTATAATATTAAAGCCAAGAAGCTCTAATACTAATACTAATGGAACTGAACTGATTGATTTAATCTCGATTCATCTATCAGATGAATAAGTTGATTTTGTCGCCAACTGCAAATGTGATTCCACCAAAACAAAATATCAAGTCGATTTTACTAATTATGTTCACTGTTTATGAATTTTGAATAAGAACGTTTTTTTCCTGGTTTAATACATCTTGACTCTGAATTTAAAACTAACAATAGTGAACAATGCAAAGAAATAAGTAATAATAGGTATAATTCATGATTTAGGTTTGATTGCGGAATCAAACTGTAATGTTGTCTGAGAGCTATTATTACTATTCATTTCTCTAGATTTTTGGTGTTTTCTGTATAAAAAAAATATTATTAGTTATATTTCAATATTCCTGTAGTAGTTGCCTCAAAATGCCCCTGTGTTTAAAATTTCCTCATTAGAAACCTAAGAGGAAAATTAAATTGATAGTCTAAAAAAATTGTTCTGAAATTGTTTTTAACTACTACAGGAATATTGAAATACAACTAATAATATTTTTAAATTGATAGTCAGTGAGACCTTGTTTGAGAAACATTTAAGTTATCTTTGGACGTTCTCAACATAAGAATGAACAAAGATTGTTGATATTGATGTTTTCATTTTCATGTTTCGACACTTTTCAGTGACAGAAGATGTGAGTTACAGGGTGTTTTTAGTTAGAAATTGATGAATAACAGAAAACCTGATATGTTACACTCTTTCTCATGAATCAATATCTGCTAAAAATGCTATATTATCTAAGGATCTTGCTTATTCCATATTACTAATTTCTTTGAATAGTCTCACACATTCAAAACACAACATATAAAGTGAATATTTACCGACCTGTAATATCGAACTGCTTTCATTTTGAGAGCTGTAGAGTTTTCTTTGCACTTATATGCCAGAACTTGTTTTATTCTACTTATCTCTACTAAGGGAAACCTCGTAGCTACATATGCTGAAAAAGAAAGAAAAAATGGCAAGTCAGACAATGGGGAAGTTTCCCTTCAGATGAATTTCCATAAAATGAGTTCGGAACTCCTCAGTTTCGATAAAGTTCAAGTCGTTTTCATTTTCAAAATGAAACAATTTCCAATTTTCGGGGCGGCAAATTGTGACGTACATTCTGAATCTATACTGAATTTAGCTGATGATAATGATGGAAATAAGTAGATGGTGTACTTACTGATGCGCTTTTGTTTCAGAAATTCTTCTCGGCCTCCCGAGAGTCCCGTGAACAATGTTTTAAGCTGTTTTTGGATATATGGCAACATTGCACAATTATGACATCGGTAAATTTTTTTAATTGCCGCAGATTTTTCGAATTCAGTGTTAAATAATTCCACTGTTACATATATGTTCCGCGTTCATAAAATGCCATTTGCCATTTTATTTCCACTCGTCACAGCAGCAGCTCGATGTGACGTAGATAAATCATAGTAGGCGGTCGAGTGATTTTTCTCAAGTTTTCGATGCGTAAAAATGGCCGACTTCGCGCACCATCTAAATATTTCCATCATTCTGATGATGAAGAATATAGATAGCAAATAACTAACGAATAAAAAAAATGGAAGAAGAAGACAACTTGGCGTCGTTGTTGGTGTTTATGTAATGAAAAATAGCGATGATCACCATCAAAACAGCTTAATGGCTCAATGTGATATTTGACTTTGAATGTTGGAAAAAATATATAAAATCCAGTTACAACTTGAATGGTTTTAGTTTATATAGGTCGATATGCGTCATGCCCTACGGGACTATAGTTAACAAGAATATTAATAAAATTACTTCAAACAGGCTTTCTTGAAAGAAATGCGGCTTGTTACATTATTTTATTTTTCTACTCACATAACTAAAATGGCATTTAGCGTACGGATATGTACCACGCTAAATGATCGATTAATAACGGATTGACGATCTGTGATTTATCCAAAATATTAAACACGTTACCATGGCAACGCGATTTCTTAAACACATTACCATGGCAACACAGTTCATTAAACACAGCTTCAGTGATTTGAGACATGTCTGGCCTGTCAATTGTATTAACTGTCAACTGTTATTTTCGAATTTTGTATCAGAATTATTCAAACAATATTCGTTTGTATCAGAATTTTTTATTAAAAATATATGCGAAAAGTAGATGAAAGTGAAATCAAAGAGAATGCTCTGGTACTTGCATATCTCCAAGAAGTGTAAAAATGAAGCATCCATCTTTGAGAACAATTTATTTATTTTGCGCTAAGCATGAGAATAAACGTGAAACAAAGGTTAGTAAGCAATGGACTGGACAGATCTACAACCAATATCACTTATACGTGTCTCGATGGTTGCATGCAGTTAGTTGCATGTATCATGTTCTCAATTCCTATTCCTTCCGAATTATTTTGTAGGTTAGCAGGAATTGCAGGTATGTTAATGTAATTTTCGGAGTTCGTAGAAAAATCATAGTATGTAACGCGTTTATAAACTCTTCTAGACACTCGTTTATTAAACACTCGCTCCGCTCTGCTCCGCTCGTGCTTAAACTACTCGTTACTAAAAGGACGTTTATAACACTTGTTACATAATATACTATTGAATTAATTACCCAAAATCTTACATACGACTTGCTGGAATTTTTTCGGAAGTGTTTGTTTTTTAGATTTTTTATTCATTCGCCTAAAACAGAATGCAATAATATAACAAGCTAAGTGACAAGCCAATACAATAATACTTTATTGAAACCTTCATTCATGAAAGGTAATTATGTGACAAGCCACATTAAAAAAATACATGCTGCTCTATTTTCATCACTTGAGTCACTTCTAGATTGTACAGGCCAGTACAGGGTGAACAACTATAAAAACGGCTGTCGGCCATATCTCAGCAACGAATAATGATACAAGTTTGAGATGGAATAAATCTAATGGTATGCGTATCATTACACGATGTAATAAAGAAACTAAATCTCAACAGACCAACGAAAACCGCAACATGATAGCTTTTCGCCAACGGCAGATATTAACTATCAAAGTTGGAAGAATGATAGATATGACAGCCGCTCTTAGTTGTTCGACGGGTACATAGTTAGGGTCGCGGTCATTTAATTTCGACTCTACCTCTCTAGTTTTCTTGATAGAATCGACATAATTCATAGCAATATAGGAACTGCTTCCGCTCGCGTCGGCCATTTTGTGTGGCTTATCATTATCTCGGGTAGTAACTAGAGAAAAAAATACCCATGCAATAGTGACCATTTATTAACGAAGGCCCATAATGATTTCGTAGTGGCTTATTGCTATTGCTTCAACTGAGAAGATCACTAACTTATTTTGAACCCTTGTGTGGCTTGTTTCACATTAAGCCCTTCAACTATAAACTGTAAACATGCACTGTTGCAAGATATAATCTGCAACTTTCCTGGAAAACATATCCGTTTTATAAAGGAATGAAGTCATTTGCAAAATAATGACAGAAAGTGAAAATTTATAGATACTATTGCAAAATATCATAATGAACATTTATTATTAATCAACTTCAACCAGCAACTTCATCATACTCGGCGAAGTAGGATTAAAAACCTATTATATCCCATTGCTGATATGATAGAGTTATAATTTAATAAAAGAACAATTCCCGGAATTCTGTACATATTGATGATGCCGGCAACGTCGTACTGACACAGGGAATCGTATTTTGACTCTGTGTGAATGTGGATTTTCTAGGTAGTACGTCATAAGGATGGTGAAGAAGTCAAGTTCCTATTTCATTTATTTTTCCTGAAGTGAAATTAGATTTAACGAAAAAAAGAAAAAATACGAATATATATAATTTCACAAACTTCACATTGATATAAAAACCTCAATATTGGTAACCTCCTCCTTCTGGGATTGCCAAAAACTAGATTGTTATTGACTATTTTTGCAAATCATTCTACATAAATATATTGATTACCTACTCAGTGTTAGTGATTTTTATAACCCGAATTATTTTCATAACATCAGACGACGAACTTTTGTTCATTAGTTGGTATTAGGTTTGAAATGGCAAAATTATTTATATTTGTAAAAATCACTATAGATACTCCTACAACAAACAGTACCTGAAGAATGAAATAATAATTAATCATAACCAATAACCACACTTTTCAGTTTTTCAAGGAGGAGAGGGGATATTACTGGCGCCACATGACCACAGCTTACATGACCATTTGCTGTCAGTAGCTTCCATGTGAGTGGGGCGAATACCGCCCCTCCACTGGTGTCAGTAGCGAACAGTGAATTTCTAGCCTTGCACAGGGATCATTAACCAAACCCGGGAAAGTGCTGCCAGCAAGCAGTAAACAGTAATTTCGGAACAGTATAGACTACTGAGAGGCGCGTTTCAAAATTGTACCCGACCTACAACCGTTTAGTAGAGGTCGTTCCAATTTACAGTTGAAGTTACTCGACAGATGCCGAATATCGTTTCAATGTTCATAGGAGGAACATCCGACTTCCAACTATTCATCCTGCTCCGAGAGGTAGGTACATTTTACCCAATCTACGTTTGGGAAGCCGGACGAGCGTTTTGTGCGTTTTGGTTTTGTGAGCTTTGCGAATTGAGGTTAGGGTTTAGGATTTCATAACAAACACCAGTGAGTGAACACAGTAAAAAAATTGTGAAGTTCTCCATTTCGATTTTGAAATAATTATAAATAAATAAATAATCAATAGAATATAATAAAGAAGTTTTCCTTCTCATAATTGAAAATATAATTCGCTGATCAAGTCACATTAATATTGTACCTAGCTGTAACCAAATAACGAATAATACTTGTTTCTCAGCATCAATTTATTATTTGAAGCAAAAACTAAATTTAGATAGAATCAATCGAGTTTTTGTGGAAAATACAAAATATTTAAAGGACTGCTGTTATTACATTTTCGATTGATTCCAGTCATCACAGAAAACACAGTTTGGAAATGAGACATTTGAATAATGTGAAATGGTAGCAAAAAATGCTGAAGCAAGACAGATGGAGATAAAACTCACATATTATTGCTTGTACTTTGTTCCTATCTAAGGCTGGTTTCACTGGTCTCTCGCAAGTGCCAGCTCTGCTCCATCTTTGTCCGGTAACAGAACAAGTTGCCAACTCAGCGGGACTGAACAAAATAGTAGCTAAACCCCTGGTTAGTTTTCTGTAATCGCTCCACTTGACACTGCGTAATTGATCTTCGTATATTTCTATACCGTCTGCCAATTTTATCTGTGAGAAACAAACATGTTAAAATTGGTGAAAAGGAATATTCTCAGATAAATCATGAACATACAAAAATGGATATATATTTGGGTTGAGTTGAAAAACAGCTATATGCTGATACTTCGCCTTTTCGTCATTGCAGTTTGTGTCTGATTGTGTAAAATATTTTGTTATTTTGTTTATTGTTGTCCTGCAAATGATGAATAAAGACGTATTATTATTATTATTATTATTATTATTATTATTATTATTTATATAAAGCAACATATTGGGAATTCGCATTCTTCATGTGATGAGAATATTTACTCTTTTCTTCAGTTAATTCAATAGAAAACAACTACTTTTCTGGCTATATGCCACGACGAACATTGAATTATATCTATTGAACACACACGATAAGAGTTTGAAAATAAAATATAAAAATTTCTGAAATTGAGAATTTGCATTCTCCTTCAGACAAAAAATATGTATATACACACATTATTCTGAATATTCAACAGAAAACAACTACTTTCCTGGCTATTTGCCATATTTCTAGATCATTATTCATCATATTATTCATCCGATTTGAAGAAGAATGTCAATTTTCAATTTCGGAGGATTTTATTCTTTATTTTTCATGTTCCCTTTTGAATGCAAATAGCCAGGAAAGTAGTTGTTTTCTGTTGAATATTCAGAATGATGTGTGTATATACATATTTTTTGCCTGAAGGAGAATGCAAATTCTCAATTTCAGAAATTTTTATATTTTATTTTCAAACTCTACTGTCTGTAGGTTAATCGAGGAGGTGGTATATTCATTTTACTTGGTTCTTTGGGATTTTCTCTCCTCGTTTCTATAAAATAAAAGTATTCGTATTATTTCAATATATTTGTAGAGGGACAAATCAGATGATTTGTCCCAAAATGTCACTGCGTTTAACAAATTTTTCTATCAGGGAGTCTAAAAGAAAAATCCAGTAGCTTGTCAGTGACAATTTGTTTGAAAAAATTTTTGAAGGAAAGAAATATAGATATATTGAAAAATATCGAATTTTTACTTATCTTTGGACGTTTCGGGACCGATTCTGCTCCCGTTCTCAACATGTAAATGCAGATTATTTTTCTTTGAAAGTTGTGCTGCGTATAGTTTGACACTTTTCAGTAACCAGGGTTCCATATTAATGAACCATAACTCAAAACACTATTGACATAATGACATATAGAGGGTACAAATTCACGACAAGTTCTCATTATGAAACCTAGCATTTTATAACCTCTTTTGAGCAATGAAGAATATATTATGCTTATCGAAAAGAATTCCTGAATCGAATATTATTTCAGTAACAGTTTGTAAGGGACGAGAAGATATTGGATAAGAGTTTAAAATGCTTTTCCCACGTCCGAACGAAATGTAGTAATAGTTTTCAAAGTTAATGTATAGACTATTCAGCTCAGAGTAATCATGAAAACGATTGATATCCTGCTGCAATAGTTTGATGTCGTCAGCATCGGAGATTGAGTGGTATATTTTTAGATCCTCCGCATACATAAAAAAAATTGGAGAATCGGAAACATTGAGATATATCATTAATATAAATATTGAATAATAGTGGCCCCAGATGAGATCCTTCAGGCACCCCAGAGGTGATTTGATGATATTCAGATTTTTGATTACTGATTGTTACCGCTTGACAACGATCGGTTACATAAGAATGAAGTCAATTCAGCAAGCACCAGCAAGTTTCTGTAGCAAAACAGAGTGATCGATTTTGTCAAACGCCTTGCTGAAGTCGGTATAGATAGCATCAACTTGTTGTTTGTCATTGAGCCTGAATATACTCAGTGTAGGTGAATAAGTTGGAATCAACTGATCTCTTCTTCATGAAGCCATGTTGTTCAATGTTGATTATGTTTTTAACGTCGGAGAGCAGCTTGTCGAAGATAATTGATTCAAAAATTTTTGCTATGATTGACAATTTTGAAATCGGTCTATAATTTTTCACGAGTAGTTTGTTACCGGATTTCAAGATTGGGATTATATGAGCTTTCTTCCAAACTGAAGGAAATACACCTTCTTCGAGAGATTTATTGAAGATAATATAGAGTGGGATTGCGATATATTCAGCACAGTTCTTGAGGAATGTTGTCGGTATCTCATCTGGTCCCACTCCTTTATTCTAAAGATTTTCAAGTTTTTGAGTAATAGATCATAAGGAAATATTATAGGAACAAATGTTATTATATAATTCTGGATGTGTTACGATCTAAACAGGAAAAATTCTTTTTCAAATAAAAACCGAGAGAAAATAGTCAGAAAATATCTTGCAAATTTCGTTAGAGCTTGTAATTATCCTATCTCTTACAATGGTCATTTCCCATTTCTAGGGTTACCAACATAAAATTTTCATCAATTCACGTTGGAACCTTGAAGACAGGGGAATACTGGGAAGACATATTTTTTCTCTCTAATGCTACCTCAACTCGGCGGCTCGGTGGTCGAGAGCGTAAATGCGCTGAGTTCATATGGGGACTGCCACCGAGACATGGGTTCGAATCCTAGTTAGGCCATGGATGTTTGTGTTTGTATACCTACCTAACCCCACACAAGTTTCGACTTATGGGGCGTTTGGTCCCAGTGCTGGGACCAACGAGGTAACGAAATTGCAAAAACTACTCTATTCATATCAGTCTCCAATGCATTTGAAGTGTTTTCTTACCAGTCTATTCCTTCTGTCTCCCTCCTGTCTAAATCGTAATATGGAAGATATGTCTGGAGAATCATCCATCAAGTCATTCGATTGGACACTACTGAACGGATCCCAACCATCAGATGATCCTCTTCTAAATTGTATCCCTATTGAAAGCAATAATTATCGTTACATCGTTACCTGTAATACAGGGTGATTCTGAACTCCTCCGAAATCTCTCGGAAGCCGATTCCAAATACGAAAATGAGAAAATAAAAATGGTACATAAAAATGGTGGTAAAGTTCTTACTAAAAGTGAGCTGCAGCATTTCAAAGATGAGCGACTGAGAAAATTTGTTTTCATTCAATATCCCTGACCCTGTTCAATGGACATCAGTAACAATCGATAATAAGAATAATGTTATGTTTGGTCTAAGAATATTCTGAAGAAATCATCAATCAGTGGTTCATTCTACAATGACTGACTTTTTTTGAATACTTTGCTTCGAAATGACATCATTTCAAAATGTTTTATTTTGAATCGTTATTGTACGGCTAAAATTAAATGTTTCCATCCCATATCTCCAGCACCGTTCAATGGATAGTCTTATAACATCTGAACAAGCATGAAATTTCTATGGATTGTGCCAACTTATATTTGTTAATATTGAATGTTATCAGACAAATAACCAATGATAACAATTCTCAGTGTCTCATCTTTGAGGGGCTCAACTCCTCCAGAGATTTCGGTGTATTTTATAAACATCCTTTGTATTAATTTCTAACCCAGGCAAACGGTATCAAAATACGCTCTTTCCTTGCAAAAAATCCTGTAGTCGATTTTATTATCAAACAATGTTTTTTGATTGATTGAGATATAGGTACGCAAAAAACAACGAAATCTTCGAACATTTTGGATTTTCGCTTATAATGCTTGTCTTCAGTGAAGACCACGTCAACGGCATTCTTTTTTGTTGCCTTCCTTGGGCGCTCCACATGTTGAGTGCTGGTAGAGGATTCACAGTCTCCGTGAAATACAACAACTTACGAAGAGGACTATTGGCAACGTAGTAATTGATTTCCGTGTATATTGGATAAAGTTCGACCAGCTGGCCACACCACACTATGGAGCAGGAAGCCCCATCAGTCACATGTATTATTTCCACAGTTCCTGTGGTTCCTGGCACAAAGTTGAAACACTTGTTTTTCCTTTATTCATGCATATTCTTTGGCAACAGTCATTTTCTCTTGAAACGTGTGGTTGAGTTGACGATGAATACCTTATCATGGACGTGTTTGCTCGAGTTCATAGGAGCTAGAGGCTGAACTTTTGGTCATTTCGTTTGAATTTTAGTGACATGAAATCTCCTTCAATGATGCGAATAACACCGTTAGTACCGATATCTCGGGAAATTTGGCAATTGATTCTCTCCGGCGACAATTCCTGTAGTGATAAATATATGAATGCTGATAGGACCATTCATATTACCTATTCAACCAATCAGCTTCTGAAGATTCTCAATTCGATTGTTGATTTTTAGTTAAGTGGAGTCTATCAATTCACCAATAACGCTGATATGAGCCGAGAGAAGGTGACCGAAGAGGATTCCACCTAGTATATAATTATCTGAATTATTGGTATCTTATATATGTCTCACTGAAAGTATGATCTTAGATAATACAAGTAAATTTATGGATGAAGCGCGACAAGTTATGGAGAGGGCTCAGATGAAATCTTACCAAAATTAAATTTCCTTATTTTTTTCGTGTTTTGCACATTGAGTCAACCATTCGATCGATCTACTCGCATCGTTCTGTATAATGATTGGAGCTGAAAAGTTTTACTAAAACTTCACTTCAGACCAGTTTTCTCGTAGGATCTGTAGTTTCCCCAATATTTAGCTCAAAAGTTGACTCAAAACTTGAAATATAATTTTTTGGAAAAATTCACTCATATTTCAACTGGGGTATCTCGAGAACCATTAGAATTGGACCTACTTCTGCTTTCATACTCAAATTGTGGCTAATTTGATTTTCTTTGAATACGTTATAATGCGAAAATTTCACTGTTTTTTGCGAATATCTCAAAATGCACCAGGAAATTTTGTTGGATGACTTCAGATCCGGATTCAGCAACCCGAAAAACATAGGGAACGATGATAAAATCGACTATACTGTATTCTTTGCACCGTAAAACTACCATCTGCCTGAATTATTCCTGGAAGGATGCGAAATATTACACCGACTGTCACCTACAGTAGCAGAAATCAATTACAATTTCGAAGGCATAAATGTATGTACCAACTTATAAACATCTCAAGACCGACTATTCCCATATAAACTGAATTCAAGAGTATTTAATATCATTGAAGGATATTTATAATCGACAAAGTTATCATATTTCAACATATCGGAACACACTATTCAAGTTGCGTCAGCTGAATCTAAAACACATCTATCACTTTGTTTCCTAGTATCTACCCTGAACCCTGAACTCCAATTTGCAAGGTATTCCTTCATGGAGTAACATAACCTCAACCTGACCAAATTTTGGTCACTCCTCTTCTGTCTAAGATGAATTTCGATAGATTGGAAGACATTTTGGTGCGGAGAACTATGTTTGGATTAGACAGATTGTTCTTCTGAATCAAAAACCATTCAGGTCATAGAATCGATAACTCGACAGATGCCGGAGTTCAAGAAATTCTGATTGTGTCAATCCCTCCTGTGAGTCCCATAAATTCGGTGTCCAGGTTTGGTGTGTACCTAACCTAACCTGACCAGAATTTAGTTAATGGTTCCCCGAAAACCATCTTTGTCTGCCTGCATGACTCCATTTATTCTTATATCAGTTGATGTTCTCTGACTTTCAGAAGTACTTTCTTTTCTGCATCAACAATAAGCCTCAAGTACATAAGGTGTGGGAGTTTTGAACTATTTATCTAGGTTTCCAAGTGATTCATAAAGATCTATCCTTATCTAACCTGATCATACGTAAGTCACTCCTCTCTAAGATGTGTACTTGGGCCATGATGTGGGTGGACAGGATGAGCTATTTCATCTGCCTGTGAGATCTTATTTATTCCTATCTCAGGTGATGCTTTCCTATTTAATTTCTAGCAAGACTCTTCTTGCTACAGCAGCAAAACTTCCATGGATTTTTTTTCCAATTACTTGACCTGACCAAAAGTTGGTCACTACTCGTCAGTCTAATATGAGTTCTTGGGTCATGGTGTAGTTGCTACTGAACAGGACATCCAGATCCAAAGAGTAGTATTATTAGGTTGCCAAGTATCCCTTTGTGACCAGTCACATCTCCCTGTTACCCCAAGAAGTCTTCCCAGTGTATCTGTTTGTTCCAAAAGGTGAAAGAAAATAAGTAAAAATCGCTATACACATCTTTATTAGCTGTGCAAAAATTTGATACAACCTCAAACTTATAGCAAAGTCTATCTAGTTAACCTAATCTCTTATTGATCAGCCTCTATAAATATTAATATTACAATACTGAAAAGTTCACTTTTGATTCGCATACACCCCTCCTCTGTCATACTTCACTAGTACGCCATTTTTGTTAGCCGCATTCACATCAAAATACTTCATGTTGTGAAAGGATTTCGCGTCGTTCGGTATTCCACTTTTGAAATAGCCGATATTGAGACCGCTGTGGGCACTCATGATGTGTCTGCGTAGATAGAGGTCCGTTTTGAACTGCTTGTGACAGAAACTGCACTGCACGTAAGTTGGATAGTGGATGAGGCGCATGTGTTGGCGCAAGTTGGACAGGTTGCTGTATATTTTGCCGCATTCATCACACGGTCTGGGGTCCAGCGAGTGCAGTTTTCTGATGTCGTTGCCTGCAACAAACCAGTTTTCGTTATAAAAAAATAGATCGTTGCAAACACGACTCACGCTGGAGCCCAGCCATGAGTGAATAGAGATTGATGAAGTTCAGATAGCGTTGAGAGAGAAAAAAGTATTTTTCTCCTTTCATGTTCTTGTCTTCAGGATTCAATGGTGACGACTTCAAAAATCAGAAGACAGCTTTTCAGAGGTTAGAATGGTATTCTTAATGGGTTGCGTGCAAGATCTGTCAGATGACCGACCCTGGAGGTGAAACATTGAAACATAACCTCACTTTAGTCACTTTTTTAATTCGTTTACAAAGGATTGAAATAGTTTTTCACAATTATTTTGGCATACGAATCGTGTTTTTCGGCTATTCAATTATTCAAGCAGGCCATCACATTGTGCTGTTGTACAATGCACAAAAAATGCAGCGAGACACTAAGGAATCCGATTTTTCAGGTAGGTCACATTGTGATCTGATGTGATGGCATGCTTGAACTAATGAATAGCCCAAAAACATGATTCCTTTACCAGAATATTGTGAAGAACTATTTCAATCCTTTGATTCCTTTGTAAACAAATAAGAAAAATGTAGTAACTTCACAAACGATAAGATTACCACAAAATTCTCAAACACACGACATGTTTCGTGTGTTTGAGAATTTTGTGGAAATCTTATCGTTTGTGAAGTTTTTACATTTGTCATGGATTTCCATCAAGTAACGGCCGAGTCAATACAAAAAAATAAGAAATGTGAGGTTGTGTTTTGATGTTTTACAGAAAAGTGAGGTTGTGTTTCAATATTTCACCGATTTCACCTATGAGGCAATCCGTCGACCTGTGAAACTATGTATCTGGTTGCCTAGTATCAAAAGGGTTAGAATGGTCTTCAAATTGAGTGAGGTAGGTACCAACATACAATTTCATTATTTCAGTTTGGAACCCTGAAGACAAAAACAGAAGAGGAGAAAATATGTTTTCTACCTCAATGTTATCCGAACTTCTCTATTGAGAATTTACGTATACAGAGTGGACCAACGGAAACGAATCAGAATGAATAATTTATACGTTATCGGAGAATGATTTTGTGAATAAACTTTTAAATAGGTAGATTCTTAACTTATGGGGGATACTTTTTCATCATATCTCCAATATGTCCAGCTGTCACATGTCATTGCCCTCTTCTACATTATAGGGATTCCCTTTCGTGCACTCTCCAAGCAATAAAAAAAATCGCTGACCAATAGAATTTGAATAGTACAACTCGGCTGAACTGCCGTACAAAAAACTTTCACGAATATTTGTCTAATTTACAGTTTCAACTGTAAATTAGTGCTAATTCATCTCTTGTGGAAAGAAAAAACGTTATGTAGACCAATGTTTGAGACTTCATAAAAAAGCTGATCTTATTGCGCATCCAATGCTCTAAATAGAATCATAATAGGTACCTTAAGAGTGGGCTAGTGGACTATTATTTTTTTTTTCATAGAATCATCACATAATTACGCTCAATTACCTTTCAATACTGTTTTTTATTATTTTTTCTACAAAAGTCAAAAATGACAAGGTTCGCGCATTGATAACAAATTGCGAAGTGACACTTTTTTTCAGTTTTCTACAATACCATGATACCTTGCACAAAACAAAGCGCGAAGTAAAACAGTGCGCGAAGTACCTACTCGCGCATGTGGTAATGATAATAATTATATTAATACACACTAGAGGACATTTGGTCCGGTGAACGTGACAACACAGGATTGTTGGCGTTGTCTTGTCTGTTCTCAGCATTCAGTAGAGCATTGCCAAGTCAAAATTTAATATAACATATGACAGTCAAGGTTCAGATAGAAAAGTGTCGCCCATGAATTGAAAATCTACCTATTTCAGCGTTTTTTCAAATAAGCATTGTCCCGAAAGTTATTCAGTTTGATTAATTCTCGTTGGCACACTCTATTGGACATTATCTCAGGAGTTATTCAGTCTGTTTCACTTTCGTTTGCCCACTCTATAACAGCATGGTCAATGAAGTTTTGTTAAAAGTTCCAAATACAAATAATCAACTTTTCAAATGGAGCACAAATGAAACCAGTGAATCTAGATTCAAAAAATAGAATACTGACCCCTGTGGACAGTGTACAAGGTATTTTTCCTACTATTCTGCACAAAAATTAAAATTAGTTAGATATTTTTTGAGAAAAAGAAGGATATATCAAGGATTTATTTTCAAAATGAAATTAATCAATATTGAAAATGTTAGTTATATATCCATCCATAACCCAGAATCCATAATTTTTGAGAGGAAGAAAAAGATATGAATTTAATGTGGAAACCGAAAAATTTACAATGTTACAAAAAAAAACATAAAATCAATACTAGTCACAATAGAATCTTATGAAATAGAGGCTACCAATGAAGCAAGTATATCCTTGTTTCATAATAAGGGAAGATAAGGAAATAATGTATAACATCTCTCAGGGGCCTCTGTATGTATTTGATTTGTATTAAACAAAATGTAATGTTCTGTTCCAACTACTAAATATATTCTATTCTATTCTACAAAGTTCATATTTCATATCCTCATCCCCAATAACTATTATTTATTTTTATTAATTTCTGTCATCAATATTTGAAGGTACATATTAGGGTTACAATCAGGTTACAATATGAATATTGTTTAATCTTTTATCAACTATTGATAATATGAATACATAAAAAATTATCAAAGAATGAAAGATTGTCCAATACTTACATGCTTCTTTTTAGGAATGAAAGTTTTACTGTTCAATTCTGAGTAAAGAAATCATGCCATATTTTGATCAAGTTGTTCTGGACAAGTATTATCCAATTTTTTTCAAATCATGCATCCTGTGTATTTTTCTCTGTATTTCTCAACTTATAGAGTAATGTCACAAAAAATTATTCTATTAAGAAATGATTGTTTACCATGCACCATCTGGATTCTGGAGTAAAACAGTTGAGAAATTTGCAGGATGACCTGAGTTATTTTATTCTAAATAATCATAAGTTAGTAAAGTTTGTGTGCATGAAAAACCCAGTGAAAAACTGAAGGTATGCCTGAATTAAAGAGAAAATCACTCACCCTGTCCAAGAGATTCTTGTTTCACTATGTCCTTTCCATTGAATCCTGATACTTGGGGAATTATTTCCATGCCACCTGCAAAGCATAAACACAGAGTTGGATGAAAAGCTAACATTTTCAAAACATAAATGACTCAATATAAAATCCAGAAATAAATTCAGAACCCTACCAAATATATTTTTCAACACTGGCATATTCAAATAAGTTCAATAACCATTAAAAGATGAATAAACTATTTTTGGTAGTTCTTCATAAAGAATTTTTTCAATAATTAGTAATAGCATTGGAGAAAATTTGAAATTACCTGGTAATTCTGCTATATCTGCAGAAGCATAAAACCTAGACAAACCATCACTCTCCTGATCTTCTTTAGTATCATCATCTCCATCATCACTAAGATAATCAGGCAGTTCAACTTTGGGCTGTAGAGTTTTTGATAAATCCATTTGGAGGTGATTCTCAAGGATGGCAAAAGGATTGATAGCCTCATTGCTATTTAATCTAGGCATTTCAGACTCAGACTTACATAATCTCTTAGGAGGACTATCAATATTTGGCAAGCTATCAGCTATATCTTGACTAGAGGTTACAGTACTCGAAGGTGATGTAGGAGGTTTGTCTAATTTATGTTTGACTATTTCATTTTTATGGTGATTGAGATACACTGAATCCTCATCTTTATTTACATTGGAAGAAGTGTCTGTTAAACCGCGAATTTTCAATGACTCTGCAGTCTTCAGGAAGCCAGGAAGATGTGCTTGGGCTACATTAACTTCACCAGCATACATAAATTCCATTAATGCAATGATATGACGAGCTTCCACATCTCTCATGAAGATGATAGGATGAGAACATGGATTTGTCTGAAATCAATGAATATGTCATGCAATTTTTCAAGAAAACTTCCTTCCTCTACACACTACACAGATCCAAAACAAATGTTTCTAAGAATTGCCTACCTTAAAAAGTTCTTTGAAAAATGGACTACAAGCCGATAAAACGACTTTATGAGCCTGCAATCGTTGGCCCTCACATGCTATAGTCACATCAGTGAAATCTTCATCATCCCTCAAGGTTTCAAATTGTGATGTTATATTTGCTTGAAAATTATTCCATCTAAGACAAAACTGTTGGTCATTGGCTACAGCCATGCTCCAACACTATTTAAACAAATTTCAAATCACCTTTTTACAAAAAATTGACCAGAAACTGTTCCTTAAAAGGATCATGTCAGACACAAAAATAAACTACCTTTTAATTTTAATCAATATAAGAGTCTTTCTTTTGACCAACCAAGAAAAAGAACTTTTCCCTGTTGGAGTCTGGGAAAATTTAGACATTGCAATTTTCGTCTGGAAGATTTTTTTCCATTCAAAATTTAAGACATTCATAATTCATTTTTCATTTCTCAAACAATAACATAAACAAAACACAATAATGTTTTTAGTAAAATTTGTTTTTGTTACTAATATTTTTATAACCTAAAAATGTTAAAAGTATTATTGAAGTCATTTAAAACGGTATCTAGAATATATTCGAATTCCATTTTTTTAATGAAATGGTCGAGACATTAAAAAGAAGAAAATAAATAATCGTATATCCATTAAATCAAGAAATAATAGAGAATTTCAAATACAAAATGAAATGTTGATAATTTTCTAGGGTTTTTTATGTTACTATGTTGGGGTTATTGAGATTGAGGAAATCAGTTAGGCGTTCTGTGGTCAAGTGACGTGTTTGACATTGTGTCTGTCATATATGTCATGTCAGTCATCGGACAGATGTCTCTTTGATTTCACTATTTTCATTTTCTGTTACTGTGAAATATCCAGGGAGGAGAGCTGAGTGAAAATGAAACACAAATTTGGACCGATAGTGATATCTGGAATTATTTTCTGATTAGTGTATTATTTTATTTTGTGATTATCAAATTTGCAGTCCTACATTTTTTGTTATGAATTGTGAATTTCGTCGTGTACCTGGAAGTTGAAATATGAGATGTCAAAAAGTGAGTTTACCTATACTTTTTTAATTATTGAACATTAGTTTGTGCCTTGTGCTTTCATTGTTTTTTATGAGGTTTTTACCTTGATGATTATCATAATATTCGTCTTTCCTCAAGATAATTTTACCAAGGACATAGCAAGTTTTCATAGGACAGGTGATGAATAAATCCACAGTTTTGTGTAAAGTACAGTGAAAGGGAGATGTTCCTTGTACTCAATCATTATCTCTTCAGTCAAAATTCGAGATATATTCATCTTATATCATGTCTTCTTATATCCCAGTAAAACAATCGGTAAAAGTGCACTTATCATGCGATGGGTTTTCATTCGAAATTTTTTTTTGGTACTTACGTATTTTCGTCTGAAAAACACGAATTTCATAATGAAAATGTGAACAAACCACTATTTATCGAGATATTTCAAGAAAAAGTTCGAAATTTTGCCTTCTTTTCCCCCTTGTGTTGGATGCATTTACAGGTACTTGCTCTTATTATTTTGTCATTGGACACTTTATATACTCATGATGTACTTCACTGACACATTTTAAGATAAAAAATTCAACAGGAAATATGATTTTTATGGCGAGTTTTTCCTATTTAGTGAGCAAGCATACCAGATGACGGCCATTTAATCCATATGCAATCCAAATACGAGATGTCAAATGTCAATAGATTGCTTTGGAATGACATTACACACGCCATTATTTCAAATGATATTCTTCCTTCTTTTCACTAAACATGGATAAATCACAAGAAAATCATATTTCTAGTTGACTCATATGATAAAAAAAAATTGTCCAACATTGTGTGGTATATATAAATTGTCCAATGATGGAAAAAGAAGGGCAAATTGTTCTAAATGTGATCCAGAAGACAGGCGGAAAAGATGGTGAAATTTGTAACTTTATAGTGAAATATCTTAATAAATAATGGTTTGTTCACATTTTCATTATGAAATTCGTGTTTTCCAGACGAAAATACGTAAGTACCAAAAAAAATTTTCGAAAAAAACCCCATCGCATGATAAGTGCACTTTTACCAAACAATCAGAAAGAAAAATGCCAACCATCTTCCCTCTGGCTCTACCCAACCACAGTATTTTCATCATTGTCCAAGGATATTGTTGGAGGATGGTATTGTTTTATGATTGCTGATGATTCATGAATGAACCTTGAAAAATCTATTGATGGGTTTAGAAGAGATCCCTATGCTTATGCTCCAAATTGGAGTCTAGTAAATAAGTCCTCTCATTAGTGGTTTCTACCAGGGTTTCAACCTCTTATATAATGAGTTTTTTATAGTATTATATTCAAAAATAATGATGATCTCATATACCTATGACCAAAGTCTTCTGGAAAGCCTATTACTATTCTTGAATTGTTCTTCTCATTCTCATTTTCTTGATAATTTATTTGTATTAGCCTGTTTGAGTTCAGAGGGTTTTGCCCGAGGTTTTGCCTCAAGGTTTATCAACATGGTTGGTAAATATTTTTGGTACTAGACCTTTACCCAAGTATATTGAAATCTCCAAAATAAACTCCAATCTCTGTAGATATTAAATCTGATGATTGTGCTGATACAGTGATAATCTGGGATTATACCCTCCATTATACAATGATAATATACTGTGATTATACCCTACTAATATTCTGAACAATAAAACCTCTGAAATAGTGAATTCCTTAATAGGTTTTCAATTACCTATATTTTGTCATATTGCCTTATCTTCCTTATTTACTCATGCATACATCATCTCTGGATTCTTATCTATATTTTCCTCATATAATATACAGTTCATGAGGGAGAATTAGTACCTGTCTATCAAGGCATGGAGATACACATTTTATTTATTCAGGTAATTTCTCAGTAAATTTTATGATCATTGTGTACAAAGTGGATATAGTATGAATCAAGGTATGAATGTAAAACTACCTCTTTCAAGCTAGTTCAAGCTAACAGTTCAGAGTTTAGTGTAGTGCTTTGATTGAGGTTTTAATTCTCTGTTAGTTGATGATGAATTATAGAAGAACCTGTGTCAAATAAATAAAAAAATACTGAACCAGAAAAGTTTGCCACCGTCACCTATATTATGATCAGCAATGAAAATAATAATAATGAATTCTCTTAATCTGATTTAATTCATCCAGAGTTGGCCAAAGATACCATCATTGTCATTTTTTATTCAGAGGTGCTTTCAGCAGAATTTTGAGCACTGAAGGGAGGAAACATTAGTGATCCCTTCACTTGCAGATCGCCAATTTGTAGTTCCATGGAAAAAAAAAGGAAAAGTTGAAACACTATGATGTAGACATGTTTCATTTCAATTTTAACTGCCATACAGAGATTACAAATGGGGACATATCTGATGAGAGCATTATCCATGATAGGAGGAATGGGAAAGTTGTAGGTCTACTCTGTTTCTTTGATGTTGAAAGGTTTGCAGCTTGTTTCACAGTGATCTTGTGAGTATTGGATCATTGATGGGCCTGATGGCTTTTCATTGAACCAGCTAAAGGTGAACCCTGGACATGCAAAAAGTCAAGACATGGTCGAATTTGAGCTTAGTAGATTGTCAAAAACTAATGTAAGGGGACATACTTCTTTGCAACAAAGGGAGATCAGAGGGGAAATCCCAGCTTTTGAGAGGTGGCCCTGATTGTGTTGTTCATGCCAAGACATACTGTCAGATACCAAGAAGTTGAATACCAATGATAATTAAAGAACTGGGAAGACAACAATGTAAATGAGTAGGTAGTAGGTATATTTTCAATTTTATTGATGTATCACTGAATACTACGCCTTTGTGGCCTTAAAAAAATTTAATTTTCAGTTCACTGTTGGTAAGTGCCCAATAAGGTGCCTATGTATATGAAATTTGTTAGATCGTATTGTTTTAATAATTAAAATTTCAATTCAATCATTGTTATCAGGAGAATGCAAATATTAGGCAATCAATTGTTCAGTCATGTTTTTCAGTATTTGCGTCAGATAGACAAACTGGTATGTACAGGGACTTTTAAATGTCGGTGCCTGAGAGTCGATTCTTATGAAAAATTCAATGGTGAAATCCACATATCGATATTTGTCGTCGTTTCGGAGTTACAAGGAGTTTTTTTGAAAATGGGCATTTTCATAAAGTGGCTACATATATTTTTTTATGCAAAAATTGCCTGTTCTTATGAGAATAACTGCAAAGCATTGAGTTTGTGATGAAAATGGTTCTCGCGACACTGACATCGGCCTTCCTATATCTAGTTCAAGAATATAACTTGTTCTTCTTGAAAGAAAAGTTCTATTTTGCAACTAGGTATACGGTGACTGAGCATCAATTTTCATGGCAAACACAATAGTTGCGTTTTATTTATCCGATTCCGCCAACGGAATCGTTTTCTTTGCAACTTTTCCGATTCCGGTTGCTACTTTTCATTCCGTCTCACTACAAGGAATGATGTGGAATGACTGTTGACAGGTGTCAAAAAATCAAATTAGATTGACGAAAAACGAAACTTTTTGAAAGTAAACGATATTTAGAAGACATTTTCATCGTGAGTTTCACTAGTTCATGATTCTTTCAAGTAAGACAGGTTTCATATGTTCATTCCCAGATAAAAAAAATGTCTCGATCTCAAAGAAGTTTCTTCAATCACCACAATCACTTCTCCAAATATTAGTTGATTCATTTTCTAGATTCTTTACTCTAGTATTATTATTTTGAAATTATTAAATATAACCTCTCATGTAAATCTTCCCATGAAAGGTCATGAAGTTTCTCGTTTTATTTGTATACGTCATTCTGTTCCCACCACCGCTACCAGAATGGGACAAATAAAACGAAACTAATGCTTTGGAAATGTTTTCATGAAAACGAAGAATTTTTGACAAGAAAATTTTTAGCCTCTTTTCAAAAATTCACATTTCCGAAAAACACCTTGTAACTCTGAAATAGAAGATAGAAATCGATATGTCGTTTCCACCTTTAAGTTTGTCCTGTGAATTGATGAACAGGCACCGACATCAGTTTTTTTCTAACTTTTACGGGTATAGGACTTTCCCTTTGAAAGTGTCTAATTTGGGCCACTCTGTACAGTCAGATGCAATGAAGATGTCCATGTTGGATGGTGTTGGCGCTCTTATTGCAGAAGCGACTAAAGGTGCTGTCACCGCCGATGTGCGACATCTTCATTGCATCTGACTGTACCTATACAGGGTGGACCATCGAAAACGTTCCACCTAAGTTTTCTCCGTTGTGTTGCAATTAATGAAAAACCGCTCGAACAGGTCGATTCCAATTTGGCGAAAGACACATTTTCCTGCAATTATCATATTCCAAAGATGAAACATTGAAGCGTAACGGGCATCAACTTTCGATTTCCAAATAGAAAATCCTGTATTTCATTGCATTTCTAGATTCTCCCTGAAGA